AAAAGGTCTAATCCACAAAGCAGTGAAGCGATGTCAGAAGATTCAGTCCTATGGTATTCGGTGACCAACGATTGGTTCATACATCGTTTGTTCCTTCAGGATCGTGGAGCCCATGGATTGAAATCATGATTTTCTTTTTGAACCTAAATATATTATTCATAAAGATATTGGGTATAGATAATCACTAACTTGTTCAACAAATATAAGTGCATTAGTAAGGGATTATAATTTTTTTGTTGTTGGTTGTACTCAAAGTGATTACTCTCTGTTATCAAATGTAGATCCTTAACAAAGTACTTCAATACAACGTTATCACAAGTTCTAGTATATTTTGATATATGGTTAGCAGAGAGAACTCAGAAAAGAACTAATTCAATGCTCTTGGACATTTCTTTTTAATTTTCCAGATCATTATAAATAACTTACCATAGTTTAGTTTATTGTTTCTTCCAAACATATTGAACAATGATGCTGTAGTGGATCAACACTTAGGTACATAGTTACATAGTGGCTTTGCCAATCCTTGCCTTTACATCTGTATGCAATCCTCCTTGTTCATCGGTGATACTTCTCAGGTACGTGAAAGATTCCCCATTTTTCAGAGTTTCGCCATCAAGTGTGATTGGGTTCAGTATTATCTTATGCAAGAAGTGGATTTAAATGCTGTCATATGACGTACCGAATGATCTATATGATAAGTACATTTGACAATTGGTGTTACATACTACTTATATATGCAAACATAAGTACTACTCACTCTGGTAACTTAAAATGAATAAAAGTGATTTTAATCAGTTTAACAATATTAAATGATGGACACACACGGATGAGGAGTCCCATACAAGGACGAAACGGCCGTTCAGTATTTCCAAGTTTTCAATGGTGATCTAACATTGATACATTCATGATATCAATCTAAATAAATAAGAAAATTGTTTGGTAGTGATTAATAATACAAACTGTGGTGGAAGATTCGTTCATTTCAGGACTTATTGGTAGAATATGTCTACACTTTAGTGTTTCAATGTTTCTACCAAAAGGTTGGAAAATTATGATAATCCTTTCTGTTCCAATAAGTAAGGTACTTGGGTGTTATTGCATTTTCTCTTGACTAAATTTATGAAAACCTTTGCCAAATAAACTCCTCACCTAGATCATTCGATACGTCATATTACAGCATTTAGATTCAGTTCTTGTATAAGATAGTACTGAACCCAATCACACTTTGTAGCGAAACTCTAGAAGATGTGGAGTTCTTCAGGTACCTGGTAAGCAAGAAAGATCTAATACAGACGTAAAGATATGGATTGACAAAGTAAGGAAATCATTCTTAAAATTGAAGAACAACAACAACTGTCCACCAATATCAAAGTCACAATCTTCAATACGAACGTCAAGGCAGTTCTACTGTATGGAGCTGAAACTTGGAGAACTACAAGAACCACAATCAAGAAAGTACAAGTATTTATAAATAACTGTCTACGCAAGATACTCAACATCCATTAACCTGGTACCATCAGCAATACCATTCTGTGGGAGAGCACAAACCAACTTCCAGTTGAACAAGAAATTAGGAAAAGATGTTGAAATTGGATAGGACATACATTACAGAAATCACCAAACTGCATCACGAGGCAAGCCGTAACTTGGGATCCTGAAGAAAATCGGAAAAGTGGAAGACCAAAGAACACATTACGTCAGGAAATAGAATCAGATATGAAAAGAATTAATAACAACTGGAATGAACTGGGAAGGATTACGCAGGACGGTTGGATGAAGAGTGCTAGTGAGCGGCTTACCCTGATAAATATTTCAGTACATATTGAACGTTATTATTATTTTTTGGTTGAAATCATGAACTGATTGATGTTAGACCACTTTTGGAAACCTGGAAGCACTGGACGGCTGTTTCATCTTATTGTGGGACTCCTCAGCAGTGCGCATCCCCGATCCTGTTCGCGGGAGTCGAACCTAGGTCCTTCAGTCTCACGCGCGAACGCCTATCCTACTGGACCACTTAGCCGGCACCCAATGGTGTTAATGTTTAACCTCATTATTATTATTATTAATACTTGCTCTTCAGAATAATTCCTTTTTAATTTAGATTATACTACTGAAATACTTCCAATGGTTTATAACTGTATACATTATACAATATATTAATCTAATCTTATATTACTCTAGACAATTCCCATTGGTATCATACACATCAATGAACATAGTTTTTGTTTTTTATGTAAACAGATAAAGATTAATATGTGAACGGAGGGGAGACGGAGTGAGGGAGGGAGGGCAAAAACTATGTAAATATGTATAGTTTTCAGACAGAATGCTGTTAGAAAGGTCAACCTATGAGTCATAGGTCACCAAAAACCTTCCAAATTAGTTCATCATATGTGACTTATGTTATATAATACTGTTTAATATTAATAATGATAATCATAATAGTAATTGGGACCCTATTATATAGTATACATATTAACAATTGGTTTTATACTCCTAGATTAAAGTAAGTAATATAGAAGTTTAATCGGTAGCGAAAGTCATCATCTAGAAGATACAAGTGGTGATTGGAGGTTGTCGACAGGAAACCCTGGACACGGGTTTCGTGCTACTTGGCAATCGTCAGCAAGGTGTACCTGTAATCTTGAGGGAACTGATGCTCCCTGACGGATTCGACCTCGTATCACCCAGCTTCACAGTCAGATACCTTACCACTGAGCTATCCGAGCTGCGACCGACCTCTTGTAGGACTGAGATGTAATCACAAATGATTGATCATTAGGTGGCGACCAATGTTATGCGTGTCTAGTCCTTATTAGTGCAGATCGAATGCTATCGACCGGATCGGATAGCTCGGAGTCGGCTATCCTGGAAACCCTGGACACGGGTTTCGTGCTATTTGTCACTCGTCAGCAAGATGTACCTGTAATCGTGAACACCTAGACTGGTGGCCACATTGCAACATGATGGATAGCATTCGATCTGCACTAATAAGGACTAGACATGCATGACATTGATCACCACCCAGTTATCAATCAATTGTGAGAAGATACAAGTATTTATTAACAGTTGTCTATGCAAAATACTTCGGATCCGTTGGACAAACACTATCAGCAACAACCTAATGTGGGTGAGAACAAATCAGATTCCAACGGAGGAAGAAATCAGGAAGAAGTGCTATAAGTGGATAGGACACACATTAAGAAAAACAACGAACTGTGTCACAAGGCAAACACTCACACGGAATCCTTAAGGCCAAAAGATAAAAGGAAGAGTGAAGAACACATTACGTCGAGAAATAAAGACAGATATGAGAAGAATGAAGGACAGTTGGATAGAACTATGAAGGAAGGCTCAAGATAGAGTGAGCTAGAGAATGTTGGTCGGCGGCCTATACTCCACTGTGGAGGGGGGTGTGAACAGGCGTAAGTAAGTAAATAAGTAAGTTAATCGTTTATTTTGGGAAAAAACAGTTAGCTTTTTAACGGTTACTCTATAAGTCTCAAACTTTTAATCAATGAGGAAAGTTTAACGTGTGGAACATACCCTTCAGTTAAAAGTACTTGTTAATAAGCAGTGGTGAATAGTGTCTGATAATGGAATGCAGGACGTCAGTCTTATTTTATTTGACACATGTTCACTGGATGTACCTACATTCCAGAATTGATATTCACCCAAGGACTCGAATCCTGTACGATTCGTCGATCAATTCCAGTCGTAAACATCAATGGGATGATTCAAACAACAAGTACAAATGCAGTAATTGCCATTGGGATGGAAGTCATATCGGATACACGTTACCAATTAGTTTATTTCGAACGGAGGACATGACTACAGTACCTAAAATGAATCAGTCTTGTAACCTGCATCAGTAAAGCAAACCTGTTTTTAGTCAACCAGTTGTATAAGCAGTAACGTATAGAATCTAGATTAGTTTCCTAGACACTTTTGGTCGGAATGCAAGCATACACAAAAATTAACCATCCAAAGGTACTCAATGTTAGGTCAATATCTGATTTTCGGTACCTACGGAAACTAGAGATGTGTAGTATAAAACTAGTACCAAACTCGTCATTGGCGAGCAACCGCGATCATGCTAGAAATCGAATCAATGACCTTTATATAGCTCAGAGAGCCCTTAACATAGCTGCTCAGTTTTTTTAGCTTTATTTACTGTGGCACTCAAAGTTAGGTCAATCTATGATGGATACTATCTTCAAACCAAACTAATTTCCATAAGATCCACTGAAGTGGGGGACTGACTTGGAGAAAAGTTCTTGATGTTCACATGGCAAATAGAATATAGAAATATTGTGAGTGAAATAACAATTACCAATGCCATTAAATCATCACCGTGTTATATGAAGGGTTCATAGAATCTAGAAAAGTGTATCATTGAATATTTTTCTGATGGTCCAATCGGTAAGCATTCATCATCAGATATGAAGGTATTAGGTTCATTTCCTGATAAAGTAGTGTCTGTGTAAAACTGAGTCTCAAACTAGCACAAAACAGGTTTTCAATACATTCTGGTTTCTAATCCTACTCAAGCATAAATTCAATCCATGACGAGTATACATATATTTATTTTCAATGGTTAAGATCATGAGTCAGTTGAAGCTAGATCACCATGGTCTAGTGGTTAAGTACTCGCGCACGTGACCGATAGGTCCCGGGTTCGAGTCTCGCGGGGCGGAATCGTGGATGCGCACTGACAAGAATACTTACTTACTTACTTGCTTACGCTTGTTACACCTCTCGAAGGAGGATAGATTGCCCATCAGCAATCTCTATCCGACTCTATCCTAGACAATCTTTTCCAACTGTTATTCATTCTTTTCATATTTGCTTTCATTTCCAAAATGTAAAGTGTTCTTTATCTTTCCTCTTTTCTACTTCCTTTCAATGATAAGTATAAACACTAGAAAATCAACTTCTTATGCCCCTAGTTTAAACATATAAATTTATCTTAATCTCTATTTAACAAAGGAGGAGTAATGGATGATAACTATATAACAGGGTAAGATTATGTGTATCGTTTGAGTACATTATATTACATTATGTATGTATAATTTTATAGGTGAGAGAAATTTAATCTGTATAACATATGGTATTTGTTTATCTATATCAATCGAATAACAAACGGTAAACATGAATAGACAAGAGGTCAATTCAAATAGGAATCATAGTTATATCATACACTTGATATTAGATGAGGAGATATTGTTATTGGGATATAATGAGGAAGAGTAGTGTTTACTAAAACTTTTGTATTGTTTACTTAAATCTTTTGATTGTTGTTTAGGATTATAATTTCACTGATTGAAATCATGAGTCGATTGAAGCTAGACCAGAATGGAAAACCTAGAAACACTGGACAGCCGTTTCGTCCTACTGTGGGACTCCTCAGCAGTGCGCATCCATGATCCTGCATCCCGTGAGATTCGAACTCAGGATCTATCAGTCTCGCGCGCGACCGCTTAACCAACTAGATCACTGAGCCGACCGGCATCCAACGGTGTTAATGTCTAACTTCAACCAATCCATGAAGTTGCACCACCGTACACTATTGTCTTCAGTGAGTTGATATCTCACAACAGACCTTGTTGAACCCCACTGGTTAGTGCTTCTCAATAAAACTCCAGGAGTATCTTTTGAAGTCAATCACTAGTGAGCAGATGATCAGTCTCTTATTGGTATATGTGCATATTGTGTCCGATTTCTTTAATTCACAAGTGTTCTATGCACAAACAAATGGCTATCAGGACTCAATAGTTAAGTGGATAACATGATGGAGTTGGAAACGAAAGGTACTGTAGTGGTTTCGAATCTCAAAAATTGCACATCAACTCTGAGATGCAGGTGCATCCAATTGACGAGTTCAAAATAGCACATAATGCACGTCCTGCAATTCACTACCAGACACTATCCATCTTTGCTTAATAAGATATGTTTCTAAACTTATATTTATATGTACATTTAAAAGGCTTCTAAACTTTTATTGGTTTTCATAGTTGATATCAATTTGAAATAACTCCGCCTGGAGCCCCTCTGGGGTTACTGCCGGTCTCAAGCCCGGATAAAGGAGGAGGGTTGAGCATGGGGTTAAGACCCCATACCGTAGAAAACTAATTCGCTAAAAAAAATGCTAACCAGAAAAATCTATTCAAACCACTTAAACTCCGCCCTGGGAGTCAGAAGGTCTTCATTTAGTAAATAAGTAAGTAAGTAATCAATTTGAAATGAAAACTGTTTCACATACTGAACATATTTCTACGATAATTCACCTAATCAAGTGATTCATTATTGTTATGAATATTATATGTATGCATTATTTATCTATTTGAACATGTAAATATTGATGCAAATTGGAACCGAATAAACATGCGCCATCTAATTATCATTCGATTTGTGTGAAGGCTTTGATACTGCTTAGTTGCCCAAAATGAAACACGTGGTTTTCTTAAGGGGCCACACTCGAAGTCTTCAACTTAAAGATCCAATCGACAATGCAGTGGGTCAACGTCAGGAGATGCAGTCTCACGGTAGCCGGTCACCAATAATTAGTTCATACACCACTTGTTTCCTTAAGATCCTGGATCCCATGTACACCATTGGTTTGAAATCAGGGTTTTCCAAATTTCCTAGTTGGATCCTCCGTATCCACCAACCCGGTTAAATCGTCGGATATTCTCTTTACATCCTCTCAATTTGGTAAACAACAGTAATGTCGCGAAAAGGCAGTGTGTAGGACTTCATATGGAGTGTCTTTATACGCATTGCCATGTGAGAGCATTTAGAGAGGGAAAGCTGACTCTCTCCACACTCGGCCGTACCAGGGCATTTGGGGGGTCTATATGCATCAAAAGTAACAATCGGTTTTGGAGATTCATGAATTTCATTGAAATCATGGACCGATGTAATTAAGACTACTATTAGAATCCTGGATAGCCTTTTTGACCCATAATCAGTTCTTGTGGAAAGCCATAGCCAGCAAAGTTCAGCCGTGTCATTTGTGAGACAATTATTCACTGAACACTATAGAAAATCCATTGAAATCATGAACCGATCTCGATTACAATACCGTTGAAAACAAAAAAGCACTGAACAACCGTTTCGTCCCACTATGGTATTGCTCAGTAGTTCACATTTGCGACCCTGCAATGGGGAATCAATCCCTGGACCTACAGTCCTGAGCGAACATCCAACATTGTCAATGTCTAACTTCAATCGATCCACCAAATTGCACTCTCTCAGATTAATAAGACCACCTCTATTCCAATCTCGTTTTCAGGTACCTCCGGAAGAATCCTTACACGGTGTGGGCAACCGGGAAGTGATAACCGCCCTCATAGCTTTAACAGCACTCAAGACCTCTGCATTCTCGACTGACATCATTGTATAACCCTGGATAAAACAACAGTAAATTATAAATACTTTCAATAATATTTCATTTAAAGACAATGACATCAAGATATTTATTACAATTTATGTATTCTAACTGACGTTGTAGTTCAGTGATAATCATTAGTGATTGAATTCGTCTATAGATATGAATGACAATTGAACATTTCATTAACACTGATGTAGAAATAATTTTTTGACAGAATCAATCCGGATAAACTTCAAGAGATATCTACTTCACCATACGTGAGTGGCAATCTTTAGTGTTTATTGTTAATACTTTTACTACTATTGCCACTACTATTACTACTACTACTACTACTACTACTACTACTACTACTACTACTACTACTACTACTACTACTACTACTACTACTACTACTACTACTACTACTACTACTACTACTACTACTACTACTACTACTACTACTACTACTACTACTACTACTACTACTACTACTATTACTACTACTATTACTACTACTACTACTACTACTACTACTACTACTACTACTACTACTACTACTACTACTACTACTACTACTACTACTACTACTACTACTACTACTACTACTACTACTACTACTACTACTACTACTACTACTACTACTACTACTACTACTACTACTACTACTACTACTACTACTACTACTACTACTACTACTACTACTACTACTACTACTACTACCAATACTACTACTACTACTACTACTACTACTACGACTACGACTACTACTACTACTACCACTGCTGTTACTAGTACTACGACTACTACTACTACGACGACCACCACAACAACTACTACTCACACTAATCCTCCTCTTCCTCTCCCTCCTCCTCCTCCTCCTACCACTACTACTTATAATAATAGTAATACTATTAATTGTCGTTGTTTAGTTTCTTACAATTAGGTTAAAATGAAAAAAGAAAGAAAAGAAAAGGAATTTTCTCTTCTCCTTTTTTATTTGTTTGTTTGCTTGTTTATTTGTTCATTTAGAAATTAGAAACGTGTTTTTCTTTTTAAATTTTTCGTTATAATTAAAACAACACATGTAGTATAATGATCAGTGTAACAACTGTGTCATCTAAGTTAAGTTCATTGGATTAAGTGAATACATGGTGATGGTGATGCTGATGCTGCTGCTGCTGCTGATGATGATGATGATGAAAGAATTTCCTTTTCTTTCTTTTCTTTTTTTTGTTGTTGTTTTTTTTTCTTCAAAATGGGAACATGTACAGAATGTGAACAAATGAATAGTGAAATAATCATGTAACAGTTTGTGTGTTCTTTTTTATAAAGAAACAAACAAACAAACACGACAACAACAACACCAAGAACAACAATTGTATACCCCTCCTATATACAAAATATAAGAATCGTAATTGAGAAAAACAGATGCATTCCATTTTGTTTTATTCAATAATACACAATTGTGTATTATACATAAATGGTGATGAGGATGATAGTGATAGTGGTGATACAGATGGTAATGCAGATGATTACAATGATGATAATACACTAATGATACCAGTTTTTTTACTCTTTAACCATGTTGTAAATGAATAAATAAATAAATAAATAAACTAATTATCCTCCTCGTCATCATCACCACCATCATCACCACCATCAGCAGCAGCAGCAGCACCATTAGTAGTAGTAGTAGTAGTAGTAAAGTAACATTTTGACCCAGTCTACATAATTGACTTTCTGGAATGTAGAACATTTTATATCATCATTTGATTCTAATGGATAATGTCACTTCACTGAAAGTTAAGTCCATTAATTAAAAGTAAACAAAAAAGGAAATGAAAAGAGTTTGTTTACATTTACAGTTTGTCAGTCGACGCGGGGGGCGGGAGGGAATGTATCATCTATATGTATATAGATAAACTAACAAAATGAATAACTTGACACTATTTTGTCTTCAAAATTTGATAAGGTATGTATCATTCAATAGTGATAACTGAAGTAGTTGTACAATGAACGACAACTCACGTGAGCACAATCCTAAATTGCTTTAGTATAATGTTAAATGTCTCTTAAATGCTTCACTATCTCTTCATCCCCATTGTGATGTTGATTGCTATCAGTTTCGTATTTTTTTCTTCTCTTCAGTACAATATTCTCAACGTTCTATTCACCGACATTTCAATTCCGACTGGTGTTACATACTACTTATATGTGTAAATATAAGTAGCACACCATACAATAAATAATTCATTGGCAAATACTCCATCAATTGTCTCATACTTGATTATTCCTTCGTTTCCATATCAATCACTTTCTGTTGTTGTTTTCTTCTCTTTGATTTTGTCAACCTTCTATCTTCATACATTTCACTTTCGATTGGTGATACATGCTACTGATATCTATCGATGTCAGTAGCACACACAGCACAGTATTATTATTATTATTATTATTATTATTATTATTATTATTATTATTAGTAGTAGTAGTAGTAGTGGTAGTATTAGTAGTAGTAGTAGGAGGAGGAGGAGGAGGAGGATTAGTGTGAGTAGTACTAGTGATAGTAGTAATAGTGTAGCGAACAGAACACGGGTGGGGATAACAGAATGTATTTAACACAAAATTACAGAATATCTCAATAAAATCTTAGAACTATATATTAAATCGTTAATTTACGAAATATCCACTAATGATCTCTAAATACCTCAGACTTTATTATCCTTACATTTTCATACAAATTGCATTCTATTCTCACTTTTTTACTTTCTTGATCTTTCCGTATCTTCTGCTGTCAGACATTACATTCCTGACTCGCATCATATACTACTTATATCAAATATAAGTAGCACGCGCTACAATAGCAGTAGTATCAATGTGGTTCTTTCTCATTTACCAAACTATACAAGTATTCATGTATATTATCAGTATAGTATAGTATAGTATAGTATAGTATAGTATAGTATAGTATAGTATAGTATAGTATAGTATAGTATAGTATAGTATAGTATAGTATAGTATAGTATAGTTTAGTTTAGTTTAGTTTAGTTTAGTTTAGTTTAGTATAGTATAGTATAGTATAGTATAGTATAGTATAGTATAGTATAGTATAGTTTAGTTTAGTATAGTATAGTATTCATGTATACATAGAATCCCAATGTATACTGAACTATAGACTAATGAAAAAAAAGAAAATTATGCAAATAAAATTGACAACAACAACAAAAAAAATAATTTTTTTTTCTTTTCTGAAATAGAAAAAGAAAAGTTAATGTTGATCAGCTGGTGTACACAAATTATTGTTTATTTATTTATTTCTCTTTTTGTAAAGATAACGAATAGAATTGATACATTGTAAATTTATTACAAATCCGGTATTGTACATCTCTATTCATTATTCCTCCTTCTCCTCCCCCCTCCGTGCGCGTTTTAGTTCCCCCCTCTGTGTGTGTGTGTGGTGTGTGTGTGTTTGTTTCTGTGTAGTTCATTTTTATACATTCAATTTAGTTGAGAAGGGGTGGAAAAGTAAAATAGATAAACGAACTAAATAATAGAAGCATTAGAAGAAGATGAAGAAGAAGAAGAAGAAGAGTTCGATTCATTATTTTGTTATATTTTTTGTTTCACAATTCTAACATTCATCATTGTCACTAATAGTAAGTATCATTCTACAACAACAACAACGAAAAATAAATTCTATGAATTCGACCAAGACTATCATGATGAAAATGAATCATGACAATAAAGAATGTAACAATCTCTTCTCCTTTTTTTCTCCATTGCACGCGTTCATGACAATTTATAGTGTGGAATTACAATAAGAATAATTAGAGTGACTCATGAATTCAAGTGAAAAAAAAGATGGTGATTAAACGTTCCACGGAAACCCTACCACCTTTCTAAGAATAATCATCATTATGTGTCTAGTATGAAGGTGGAAGCTGTAACTAATGGAGTTCAACTAGGTCTGTTATGAGATACTAACACTCATTGAAGATAATGGTAGATATGCTGCTCAATTTTGTGGATTAGTTGAAGTTAGACATCATGAATAACATTGGATGACAGCCAGCTCTGGCTCTGTGGTCTAGAGGTTAATCGTTGATATGCGAGATTGATAAGTCGCGGCTCGGATAGCTCAGTGGTAACGTCTCTGACTGTGAAGCTGGGTGACACGGGATTGAATCTGCCAAGTAGCACCATTTCCCTCAAGATTACAAGTACACCTTGTTGACGAGTGCCAAGTAGCATGAAACCTCGGTCCAGGGTTTCTTGTCGACTATCTCCAACCGTCATCTAACTGTTGAGGATTCCCTTGCTAAGACGAAACAGCCATCCAGTGCTTTCAGGTTTTCTATGATAGTCTAGCTTTAATTAACTCATGAATTCAACTAGAAAAAGGAATGGATTAAATATTATCATCATAATTAGTAGTGTTATTGTTAGTAGTATGTGACATATCCATGTATAATTTAAAGTTTAAATTTGATTCAAGTTGATACATTTTTGTTTCTTACAAAAAATAGTGAGTCATTGATTTAATTGATCTTACTTACTTACTTGCTTACTTACTTACGCCTGTTACTCCTCGTGAAGGAGCATAGGCCGCTCACCAGCATTCTCCATTCAACCCTATCCTGGACAATCCTTTCTAGCTCCTTCCAGTTCCTATTGATCCTTTTCATATCTGATTCTATTCCCTGACGTAATGTGTTCTTTGGTCTTCCTCTTTTCCGATTTCCATCAGGATCCCAAGTTAAAGCTTGCCTCATGATGAAGTTTGATGATTTGCGTAATGTATGTCCTATCCACTTCCAACGATTCTTCCTGATTTCTTCCTCCACTGGAATCTGGTTTGTTCTCTCCCACATAATGGTGTTGCTGATGGTACCAGGTTAATGGATGTTGAGTTGACAATGTTGCGTAGACAACTATTTATAAATACTTGTACCTTCTTGATGATGGTTGTTGTAGTTCTCGAAGTTTGAGCTCCGTACAATAGAACTGTTTTGACGTTCGTATTGAAGATTGTGACTTCGATATTGGTTGATAGTTGTTGTTGTTCTTCAATTGTAAGAATGATTTCCTTACTTTGTTTTGAATTCCATATGTTCTTCAATTGTAGGAATCCTGTTGTTGCTTTGCCAATCCTTGCAATTTAATTGATCTGCTTACATATTTTAAATTCTAATGATTAGGGAATGTTTTCCAAACGACAATACTGGGGATCTAGTTAAAATCAGATTGATCATCAATGTTCTCATACAAGAGGTATGTAGATTTGTTGATCTGTTAAATGTAATATATACTTGTCTTATTTACAATACTGGAACTCTCATTATCAAGATGGAGAAATCTCAACCATTATTATGTAAGAAATCATCTCCAACTTCCTTTCGCCAAGGTGTTGAATAATAATCTTAATCCAAGATCACTACCTCTCTGTTGCATGCCAAGACTCTAGTTTATGGACAAAGCATTTAGAATTAACATATATATTTGAGGTAAATTCATTTACCATATTCTTTTTCCATTTCTCAATAAATAGTAACGTTCAGCGTTTGGTATGTAGTCTGTTGATACATTGTCTAATGGAAGAAACTTCAGTGGAATCCCAAAGTGTGGATATGAAAGAAAAAGAGACCAAACGAGAAAAATTAACTGAGAAATCAATCAACGCATAATAAGCACTTACGTTTTCTCATTCGTTGAGATCATGATTCAATTGAAGTTAGACTACTATGGAAAACCTGGAACCACTAGATAGACGTTTCGTTCTATTGTGGAACTCCTTACTAGTGAGCACCCATGGTCCCGCTTTGTGAGAATCGAACCCAAGACCTATCAATCTCGTATGCGAATGATTAACCTCTAGACAACTGAACTGACCGGAATCCAATGGTGTCAATATCTAACTTCAATCAATTCACGAAATTGAGCAACACA